CTCTTCCGATCTTAAAACAAAGCAAGAACTGAAAATTTCTTTCAATAATATTTATGAAAAAATTAATAGAAATAAAGAAAAGAGATTTATTATTTTTAATATAATATATTTTACTAGAAAACATAAAAACTAAAAATGCCGATATTTCTCTGCTCATAGCGCTGAAATTGTCAATTAAGGGAGAAGCTAATGTTAACTGGGAGAGAAGAAGGACTACCAAGGATTCCCAAGGACACAATCGCACCCACATTGATCATTTCCGAGCAAGCGAGCAGTATTTTAACCTGACTTATTACCTACTAGGAAATACAGGAGGTAAATATACTCACAAGATTAATCTAATAAAAGTAGAGCTATACGAAAAAGTTTAATAGATCTGTAAAAGAATGTTATAATAAAATAATTGAATATTATATAATTGCTTGATCAATTCTATTAATTGATGAAATCAATTTATTCGTGGAACGTTTTTGATTTATTTGATTAATTAGACGAAAAACATTATAAATTACAGGCAATGGAGAGGTGCGGTTGTCAGCAGGGTTTCATAGATACTTTTTTAATTTCTCACTGCCCAATAATATACCGTGCAGCTTCGAGCACGCGAACGGTCACATCAGGTACACGATGAAGGCCGTTATCGACAGACCATGGAGATTCGATCACGAGTGCAAAATTGCGTTCACCGTAGTCGCATCTTACGATTTAAACGCTCGTAGTCATCTGTGTGTAAGTGAAGATAAACAATTCGCGCGTTTCTTTTGCCTCTATATTACGTAGAAATAACTCCAAAATGAATACAGCGATCGGTGACGTCACCAAAAGCGAATAATCTCTTTTTTTCATTAGCTCGGCGTGGACGACGAAGTGGTCGAAAGTAATTTCTGTTGTCTCTGCTGTTTCAACTTGGGTACGATGAAAGCACGTATCAGAATACCGACGAGGGGCTTTGTGCCGGGACAATCGATAGAGACTACGGTCAACCTCGATAACACCAGCAGAGTCAATGTGACGAAGATCTGTGCCAAATTGGAACGGGTAGGTATAACCGCCCGCGCCGTAACTATAGCGCATCAAATTAATTTCAATCGATGTAATAGTAATTGTGATCTTTTTTTTCCTTCAATTTCTGACGATAAAGACTTTGGATTTCCATGCGAGATCACCGTACTCTGTCACCAAGACGGATAAGGCGCTCGTAAAAGCCGAGCAAACTCAGAGACCACTCATCCAACAAGGCGGTATAGTATTATTACAATTACGGGTTCCACCAATACCGCCATCCCAATTGGAAAACTGCAGTATAATAGACCAGAAATATACTCTACGCGTTACAATTCATGTCGCTGGAATGTACGTATATACCTCCCCGAAGCACAGCAATAAAATAAATTGCAGTTTAATTCGCATATGCAACTGTATACATATATATATATATATATATATATATATATATATATATATATTACAAAAGTTGATGACTTGCTTTTTTAATTAATTCTTAAAATTCTTAGGAATTGTTTTGTAGTTATTATTTTGAATAAATGTTCCGCAATTTACAAAAATTTGCAATTAAATTATATTGAATAGAGATTTATTAAAAAATCGATTCAATTTCTGTTATATTACAGGCATTGCAGCAAAACTAAGACTTATCCGATCTTGATCGGAACAATTCCATTACGCTCTACTATTCCATCTGCATCTTATATGCCAGAACCTACAGCTGCTATTATGCAGCAGCCTACAGCTCCTGTAATACCTGACGATTATGATCCACCGCCGCCCATGCCGACGTCCCCAGATTACGAACCACCAAATACGCCTTATCCTCAAGCGATAGGTTTTGGCTCTCCAGGCACGTCGACTAACCCATGGGATATACGTGAGTAATTTTTTTGTTGTTGTAAACGTATAATTGAATATCGATTTTATTTTACCTTTAAATAAAATCGATATTCAATTATATTAATTACGTAATTCCTTAAATATTAATTACTAAATTATTAATTTCTTAATTCGATTAGAAGTGCAGCAAATTAGAGTCTGAGAGAAAAAAAATCTATGAAAATATTTTTGTCACATACTTAAGAAATTAAAATATAATTTTTGTAAGATTCGTCAAAGAAATTTTATCGACAATTGTAAGAACTTATTAAAGGATATAATTTTTAAAAACTATCATTTCTATATCTAGCACCGCCGTCATATGAAGAATGTATGCAAAGAGCGGATAGTATCAAAGATGATGACGAGTCAAATTACGTACACGGTGCCAACGAACCCTTTGCACCAAGATACCCGGTCTTTAATTTCCCAACGTCTGCACGTAAGAATGGAACACTTTTTTATCAAATCATTCTTAACACTACATACTTCAATATTCATTTTTCTTCTATAGACCCTGAAAAATAAGCAAAAACAAAATAACCTACTCTGGAAAAGCAAAGACAAGATAGGGAATACACCATGTAGCATCAGCCATCAATCGTTGTTACTTCCACTAACGCGTTTGTCACGAACGAAGAAGCAAGTCAGGAAATCAAAAGCGCAGCTTCTGATCGCTACTACCTCATACAATATCTTATATGAACGTGTTATTTAATTTTTTAAGTGTAAAAAATTGATCACCTATACATATTTTTATACTCTATCACATTCTGCTTATATGACTATAAATGTATTGTGCAATATATTTCGTGATCAAATTATGTATTAATATAATGTACAATGAAAAATATAATTTTGCGATACGTCTTTTGTACGCAATGTTTGTTTCAGCATTGAGACGTTAGAATGTTTTAAGAAAGATGGAGGAACAGAATCCGCAAGAAGGAATACACAAGGAGCAATAAAAATAGTTATGCCAAAAAAATGGCATATTTACACAATTTATTTTATATCTCAACATCATATCATAATCATCATCGAGTCGTATAATAGCAAAAGTAACGTTAATAAGGAGTTCTCAAAGAGGTTTCGAATTTCAGCTAGAACGGCAGGGAGGAACGAAATGGAAAAAGGAAAGACGAGTAGGGAGAGAGGGAAGAGAGATTCATCCCGATAACTTGTGCAAGCGGTTTGAAATCGTGAATTTGGAGTCGTGAATGTGAAGAGTGCAATATATGGAAGTCGGAGATGGAGCGAGAAGCGTAACGGAAAGTGGGGCTACGTAACGTGAATTTAGCGCGAACGGTCACTTCTATATGAGATTTTCTATTCTACAATAATTGTATTCCAAATTTACAGCATAGCAAATGTACATGATACTATTATTCACATTCAGCCACCAAATGCCCGGTAAACAACATATCATTGTAGGAACTGAACCCATCCATTTCGACGCTTTTAACACTGCCTTAAATACTGAGATTAAACGTCGGGGGTATTACGCGATATTGCTATCGGATAACTGCGAAAGATGAAACCTTGAGATGGTGGATATGCAATGTCTTGGAGAAAAAAAACGTTCCGAAATCTGAGAAGTACGACAATGTTCCAAAAGGTCATAAATGTCATACTAGATAAAATGTAATACCGAAAGAAGTGTGACAATGTCATAATCCGAAAAGTCATAATCCCGAAATCTTAGAACTGAGACAATGTCCCGAAAAATTATAAATTAAGTTTGAGTAAACAAATATCTATATATATCTCAGAGAATAATTCTAAAATCAATTAAATTAATTTCTTCGTCTCGATAATTTATTTAAAAATTTTGCAATTGCTAGACAATACTAGACAATTACTATATCACTTCATCAATACGTTACAATTTTTGCTATAAAAAGAAATACATGTATACAGATTATAAACTCTTGTAGCTAACAACCTAAAATCTAGATATACATACGTTATGTTATTTTATTTATCATATATACATATGATATTTAAGAAATATAATAAAAAATATTAGTGTACAGAATAAAATATGGAACATAGAGCTTTATTTTATTTTAAAAAAATCATTGAACGAAAAATATTAATATATTATATATCTTTCCTCTAATATATGTTTTGAATTTAAAAACACTTTCTTGGTATGTTCATTTTTATCTATAATTTTTTGGGACATTGTCTTAATTCTAAGATTCTAAGACCTTTCGAGACATTGTTACACTTCTGAAATTTCGAAACTGTGACTTTTCGGAACATTGTTACATTTCTGAAATTTCACGATTTTTTTTAGACATTGTCACCAATTATTGTGATTTTTCGGGACACTGCACATCCACCCTTCAAATGCAAAAAAAAATTTCAAATAACTGAACCCTTATTGCAAGAAGACATGCCAAACACATTTGCAAACTATTCTTACATCGCAAATTTTACTTTAATGCCGCTTGCACGAGAATGGTCCCGTTAATTATCAGAACTTGTTATCGTCAGGCATCGCCGTAATTTGTATGGAAGCTATTTACTTTGATACAAAGTTAAGTTCCATAGGACTTGGGCTTTATCGCGTAGAATAGTTCAAAACATTCTTACGAACGACGAGTTCTTTTCGACGGACCATTCTTACAATCGTAAATTCGATCAAGAGCGGTCTCTCTCGTGTAATTCACAGAAACATCCGAAGCAAAATCGGCGGGAAATGATGCGCTATGATTCGTAACATTCTGCGGTGTATGACTGACGTTCGATTACGTGAATGTGTACGATTCTAAAATCGGCATTCAGTGTCCGTAAAAGTTCACTCGTGCTAATTCGGTATTATAATAATCCACGTAAAAGGTTGGAGTAAATTCACATATTTAGGCACAAGGACAATTAACTCGCAAGGAAAACTCACGAAACGCTGGATAATTTCTCAATGTGTAATTACAAGAGACGGCAAAGTCAGGAAATACGAGTGTAGACTTACCTAGCGATAAAACGCAACAGACGAAAATTTGTACTGCCTATTGTCGTAAGATTTTAAGAGATAAATAAAACGGCGAAATAGAATAACATTAAAACACTGGATTACAGACAAGGTAAAGCATGGCGTATCTATAACAAATCGATTGTTGTGTCTTTGACTCGATAATGTTTCCTGACTTCCTTCCTAGACTTTTCCGAGCGTCCTGGTTGTTCGGGAGGGAAAAGGAACTGTGCGCTCCGACTTTACAAAAATTTACTTCGCTTATATTACAATAACCTTCCCTCAATTTAAGACATTCAACCCTTAATATATTATTATCATAAATAAATTTGGTCTATATCGGTAATATTGTGAATACGCCGGTACAAATACTGGCAGTATTTGGTTAAGTAAAAATCATGATCACTAGAAGAGGTAACGAACTTGTACGGAGATTAATTACGGTATTACAATTCCTGTCATATTTCGTATTCTTTTTTTTTTTTTATACACTTCGCGCGAACGCAAAAGAGCAGTGATTCAATACCGCAAAATTGACGAAAGAGAAATGATGTAAACGCGCAACGTTACTACTTCCAGTAAACCTGATTTGACATTCTTTAAATGATTTTTGCCGGGGGGGAGGGGGTTTCGCAAATCTATCCACGACAGAAGCAAAAACTTGTCGATTGCGTGCCAAAATAAAATACTTTCATTTATAATTATTCAATTAACATTTGTACAATTAAAATACCGCGATGTAATATCGATAATGCCCAGTGGAATCGATCTCCATAATCATTCCCGTGATAATTTGCAGAAACGGACAATTAAAATGATCTTCATACAGATTTCTATCGTCAAAAAAGCATATTTCGACATATTCGAATGAATTAAGTGATAGCTAATGCGCGACGAAGCAAACACGCGAGATAATTATTATACACGTACATAATATGTATGTATGGGATAACGCTACTTCGTGAATAGATCTACCAAATAGAATCGATAGGGGAGTGTGCCACGAGTCAGGTAGATCGGCTTGAAAAAACAGGCGTTGTAACAGGTGTTCTCAACATTTCCAACTTGATCCACCAAGACTGCCCCGGTCAGCATTGTGAAGTATCGCGATTCACTTATTCGCGAGACGATTTATTTTAAAAAAATAATCAATGTTGTTGTTGTTATTGTTGTTGCCACAATGTGGCGCAATGGGTTCAAGACAAACATCAACATCTTTTCCTCTACTTGCATGTATGTGTACATACTATCAATACAACCATTTAACAGTAACTGAGAATAAGAAAAAGGCATTATTTTACATCATCACCGCGTGTTGATCCAAGTCATGAACCGTAGGACACTGAGTTGTGCACACGCAGTGTGTTAAAATTTTTTTTTTTTTTTTACATATGTCTCTATATATTTATAATTGTATGTCGTGTTGTGTGTTTATGTTGTGTGGTGTATTTTACTTTTTTATGTATTTTACTCGATCACTTTACATTATTACACTGTTTTTTCAGTCCACACACTTTTCAAATACCTGTAAAGGAAAATTCACATTTTTGCCCCATTTGCATTTTTAAGTAACGGTAAACAATCCTCACACCATGCATAAAAAATGACATTGCGGCAGCCATAGAATTTAATAGCTCATACACGTCCAGCGCGCATGTGGTGGCCGCGCGCTAAATCAAATTCGTATATATATTATTCGCCACGAGAATATAAATAGATTTGCACAATCAATAACCGAACAATGAACTCTCGTGCGACATATAAACTCCGAAATCAATAATATTACTGAAAAAATAATGCAGCGCTTATTAAATAATCTTTTTCTTTTCTCAAATATGCAGATATTCTGCCAACGGATTAAATGATCAAAAAGGAAACTTTCCATTTAGAAATTTATATATAAGTTATACATAAATTTTTTTGTCATTTAAAATAAATAAATCTTTAAAGCATACCGTATTAACGTGCGTATCTTTAACCTTCTCTCTTAATGGCACCGGGAGCTTCAGCTAGTCCTTTAACTTTAAGCCGGTCTGCTGTTTTGAGAAATGCTGGCAGCTGATCTTGCGAAACGTTCACTTCACCTGCATACATGAATTCTAGAATGGCTTGTAGATGGCTGTACGCAACGTCCTTTAGAATTATAATTGGATGTTTGGACGGATTTTCCTGTAAATCAAGAAGAAAATTCATTTAGTTGCAAGGTCAATAAATTGCCAGTGTTATCAGCTAATAGTAATAATCGGCGCAGCGTACCTCTAATAAGGATTTGAAGTAAGGACTACAGGCGGACAGGACCATTTTATGCGCTTTGCAAGTCTGACCATCGCAAGCCAATGTCACATCCGTGAAGCTTTTCTCATCTCGCAGATGTTTGAACGACGACACCATGTTCGACTGGAAGTCATTCCATTTGAGAAAAAACTGTTGCTGCTCTCCCGCCATTGTGAATGCTGGAATTGCCCTATAACTCTTGCGTGATTGTGCAGTCTGCAAGCAACATTACATGACATCAGTCAACTTAGCAAACAAACTAGAACTGCCTCAGAGCGAGTTCATGTACAGTCGTGGACACATCGGTTGCGACACTTTTTTTTATAGGTTTCTAATATACATTTAATATACATAATATATACTTTATAGATAACTAATATTTTGCAAATGCGAACCACGATGTACTATCTTTAGTCTAGAGACAGTATAACAGCAATCGTGGTCCACATTTTCAAAATATTAGTGCGTTTTGAAACCTATAAAAAAGAAAGTGTCACAACCGATGTATCCATGACTGTACATTCATACGAGATGGGAATCAAAGAAAGTGAAAAAGGAACGAGACAAGAGAGTGAAAAGCTAATGGAGAGATCGCGCGTCCGATTGACGTTCGGACTGAAGCTAAATAAAATAAAATAAAATAAAATAAAATAAAATAAAATATATATATATATATATATATATATATACATATATATATATAGCGACGCTCGCGAGAAAGCAGAGAGAATCTGTATCAATCGTGTCGCGACAAATGCCGCGTCTCAACGAGGAGAACCACGTTCGGCAAGGCGCGCGAGCGAGAGTCCTCGCGCGAGGATCCTTTGTAGGTTAAGCCAAAGGATGCCACGGCGAGTGAGGTGACGCGGAGTCGGGTCGAATCTCTCGTGCCGAGAGCCGAGAGCCGTGCATCGTCTCGCGAGTCGGGCTGTACACCGTGACGGATACCGGAAGGGTTCGCGTCCTCGGTCCGTCCTCGGTCACAACATCGCAACGTGTGCACGGCGCCGCTCTCGTCGGCCCAGTCTCTCTCCCGTCAAGAGAGGCGCACACGGGTCCCCCGACACACAACACACGGCAGGCGGGATCGAACGCGCGGATGCCGCGCGAGGATGGGCTCGCGGCGACGTGCACGCGCGTCGCTTACTTCGCGCCGTCGACGGGCCGCCGAATCCTGGACGAGGCGACGACGTGGCTGACGACCAACACCTTGCCGCAGGTAGAACGCGGAAAAGCACGTAGCGTACGAAAAAACTTTTTGCGCGACCACCACGAATTTTTTGTTGTGGCTAATATCACGGCGAGGAAATTCGGCGGTGCTCGAGTCTTTCCGTCGGCGGTCGGTCCCCGCGTACGCAGTACCGACTGAAGGCGCTCGCGGGGCGCGCCGCCAGATGGCGCGACCGATCCGGTTGCAGTCGCGGCCGCCGCGGGTTGCGCTTGCCAGCCGACTTTAAACAATCGGTAAATATATTTCTTACGATTCCGCAAATCTTAATATTATAATTGAGACTTATGTCCATTTCTACCAATGTAGATTAACTTTAATCACGGTTTTATTTACTTTTTATCTTTTTCTAATTCTTAAAAGGAGAAAAATCTACGATGGTAGAAATAAACATTATTAATTGATTTATTTTCTCTTTTTTGAGACAGAATTGCAAAGAAGTAAAATATTTATTAACTAACATTTAGAAAATGATCCTATTATTTGATCGCGATATTTATCGTACTTCTCAAATTCGTTTATCATTAAAATTATTTTAAGATAACTTATACTAAAAACGCTAAGCTCTATATTTGATCTTTTTGAGCCTGCAAATTTACAGAAATTGTTAAAATGTTAAATTGTTGTAATAAATTGTAATGATGTTTTGTTAGCAGTAAAAATAATATATGGCCATATAAAAGAGTTATAATTTATAAGCTGTATAAAACACGTAATACACAAAGTATAGGATGTACACTCGCTCACTAAAAGGTTGCGACACTTTTTTTTTTATAGGTTTCTAATTTATATTTAATATACGTAATATATACTTTATAGATAACTAATATTTTGCAAATGCAAACCACGATCTACTATCTTTAGTCTAAAAGCAATATAACACCAATCGTGGTCCGCATTTGCAAAATATTAATACGTTTTGAAACCTATAAAAAAGAAAGTGTCGCAACCTTTTAGTGAGCGAGTGTACATACGCATTACTGTATTTTTTAGAATATTATTAATAATTAAATATTAATAATTTCAAAGAGTGAGAGAGAGAAAACTAAGTAATTTAATACTTTCTTGTCTAAAAAAAAAAAAAGATTTTGTGTACAAAACAAAATTGTTTTTATTTAAGAGAAAATGAGAAATTATTCATGAAATAAAATAAAAGAATCAAAAAGAGAGGGATGGACACACCGAAGATAACGTATCGTTTACAGATCTTATTCCCGTTTCGTAACTCGTTTCGTTATTATATAATATACACATGATGACACACATATACACAATTAGACATGAATTAGAGCGCGTAAAGCCTTAATTAGTGATCCGCGAGGGGATGTTAATTAACGCGATCTAATCTCGGTGTCAATCGCGCGTAAAAGTCGCTTTTTGTTTTTTTTTCTGTGCCTTGATAGTGACAAGAGTCGATCGACGCAAGCGAGTTGCTGATATACACAGAAACTCGTCGTTCAATCCGGGCGATTATAGTAATATACGTCAGCGTGCGTTGGCTCGTAGATCAACGCACGCGTAACTACGCTGCGCGCACGATGTTAAGATAAAAAAAAAATCTGCGTTGATAAACAATCAAAACATAACGCAACAATGATTCGTCTATTCGCGAGGACGCGAAACTTTGTCGAGCTCGATCGCGATGCATCCTCGCGTGGAAAAGCCCACCGATTTTGTGTTCCTGTGAAAATTATCCTCCAGGAATTATGAGCTAATCTGACTAGCGAGATGACAGAGAAAGGGAATAAATGTTCAAAAAAAAAATCTGGTAAAGTTCCGGAGAATTCCAGGCTAAATAAAAAAAAACTATGGCAGAGTGATAAGCCGCGAGCAGCGCCGAGACATAAATAAGGAAATATAAAAAAAATAAAAATAACCATAAATTCCCCGGAAAATGAGGAGATATAGTTAAAATAATCTAGTTCGATATGAAGCATCGTTTATATTTGCCATTAATAAATCTTTATTAAAACTTTACGAAAAGTCCGCGATCATATATAGTTACAAATTTTATTTATTATTCTATTACTAGTGTTCAATAATCTTCAAAGGTTTGCATATCTCAGCTGTATATTTCAAGCAACTAAAGCGATATTTGACGAAAATCATCTCTCGATAAAAATTTCGACAAGGAAACGAGTATAACAGGAAATTCTGAATTGATTGCCGCCGATTGCGCAATATCGTGTAAACGATGGCACTTTCCTGTCAGCTGCAAACAAGATGCTCTCAAATATAAATATCGAACGTCATGATAGGCGCCACCCGATATATACAAAGCCGTTACATCGCGATGCATGATGCGCGCCGTATTAAATATGAAAAATTATGTAACGCATTTAACGAATTTAATGAATGGCAACTATATGTAGAATGATCTCATATTCGGGATTAATGTCTAATTTAAATTCGATTATTTTCGATTCGGACAAATCACGTGACGGCTGACAGCCCAAATGACGACTGATAAACCACGAATTGGCACCGCTAATTGCTCGAGCGGGAAAATCCGTGCATCGATCGCGAAAGGAAGGCCGCCTTTTTCGTACGCTATGCGGTGTCGCATGCGAGCGGCACCGGGAGAATCAAGCGCCGGAAAACTTTTTCCGCCGCGCGGAGCGGAGCTGTGACGGGACCGCGGTGCGCCAGGGCGTCGAGGGATGCAGGCGAGAAAACGTAGAAGAGAGAGAGAGAGAGAGAGAGAGAGAGAGAGAGAGAGAGAGAGAGAGAGTGAGACGCTTGAGGGATCCGGAGGAGCGAAGGGAGGCAGAAAAAAAGACGGCCGAAATGCGTCGGAAACGGAGAGGGAAATGTGGGAAAAGGAAAGAAATCGGAGGAGAGAGAGAGAGACTGAAAGAGAGATAGGATCCGCGCGTACGCGGATAACGAATGGGAAAAGCGAGAGTGAGGGAGAAAGGAAGAGAGAGAGAGAAGAGAGAGAAACGGGGCCCGGAGGAGGACAAGGAGCCGAGGGGAAGTGGAAGCTAACTCGTGAGCGAGCGCCGCGACGGGAGGAGGAGCGCGGTGTGGACGCTCCGCGGCGCGGTCGGTCCCTCCGAGAGAGGACCGCTCCGCGAGAGGAGGTAAGCACGGAGCGGAACGGAGCGCGGAGGGAAGCGCGACGTTCGCGGGCGCAAGCGCAATGGGGACGCGAAGCGGCTTCGCGGCGTGCGCCACATTGAAAGCTTGCGACATGCCGCCGCGGCGCTCAGTCGCGCGCCAACTCTTGAGTGGGTCTGTCGTTGTCGCATCTCATTGCGTTTTCCCCTCACTCTCGAGCATCACGTAGCGATCCTTCCGTGTGTATTCCGAAGTGCGAGAGGCCAAGAGCGAGGCAGGAACGGTTACGGCTGTGCGCGTGGGCGTCAGTAAATCGCGTCAAGACTACTGAAACGAGCGCGAACTCTGTTGACTCCCGCGGAGCGGGAGAGACGAGAGAGTTGAAGCCGAGATAACGTCGTCGTCAGACACGAAACGTGTGATCATCGTCCTCGAGATCTCAGAGTATTGTATAATCCGGGGGATCGTAAAGTAAGTATTTGGAACAGTGTCAAAAATCGCGACGCGCGCTTTTCGCGGAAACGAGGTCCGTGTTTGTTGTCCACACGACGGTGTGACGGTGTGACGGCGATCGATTTTCACCGAGAAACATTCTCTCCTGCCGGCTCGTCTTGGACGACGTAGTACGTGCGCCACCGACGGCCGAAGGAGCGGGAGATAACTTGATAGAGAAGCGAGACGGGCGGCAACGCGCGCGAATCGACGCTTCTACGCACAAACGCGGGACAGGACGGTACAGGTGGTCGCGGTGAAGCCGGCGAAAGGATTCCCCGTCTGTGATGTGCGAGTGAGCGATGGAGTCACCAGTCATGTATGATTCAGCAGCCCACCAGGCCCAGACCCAGGGCACGGCCGATTTGAAGAAGGCCCAGGTGCTCAACAACAACACCAGCAATCAGAATAATAACAATAACGCCGCGACGAACAATAACAATTCCACCCTGCTCAATCACAATCACAATCACAATCATCAGCAGCAGCAGAATAGCGCGGTGGTGAAGCAGGTATCCGGCAGCAAGGCGAGCCTACACCAGCAGTATGTCGAGCACTGCGCCGCCGCCGGCGAGCTTACCGATCTCAATGCCCCGGAGATTTCGCTGGATCTTCAAAACCTGATCGACGACAATCAGTTCGGCGACGGTTTACTCGACATGCTTGGCACCAATAACAATGCCTTAAAGCACGTCAGGACGGGCGGTTATCCCCGCACGACCCTCGCCTACATGCCGCAGCCGGTGCACAGCGGCGCTACCTACCATCAGAACAGCAACAGCTGCAGCGACAGCAATAGCTCGAGCTCGGAGTCGCCCAGCATCAAGGAGGAGCCGTTGGATCCGGCGGATTACAGACGCCACTGCCCTCAGTATCCGCCTACCGGCTACAGCCCGGTGACGAATAATCCGTTCGCCAATGGTGGGCAAACCTTCACCACCCTGACGCCGTCCACGTTACCGGGCGGTCATCCGGGTGCGCCGGTACACCAGCCGCCGCCGCGGGGTGGCCCGATGAAGGGTCCGGTGATGACCCACCACCCCGCCGCGAATGTCGCCAGGAAGCAGAGCAAGACCATCGACAAGGCGAGCGACGAGTACAGACGACGGCGGGAGAGGAATAACATCGCCGTGAGGAAGAGCCGCGAGAAGGCGAAGGTGCGATCGCGCGAGACCGAGGAGAAGGTCAAGATGCTGGTGAAGGACAACGACGTTCTGAAGAAGCGGATCGAGCTGCTCAACGAGGAGCTCAATGTGCTCAGGTCGCTCTTCAGCAGCGTTGGCGTAGTGCCCGAGCAGCTGCACCGCGAGATCTCCAGGCACCTCGACCAGTTTCAGCAGCACGCGGTCGGACCCATGTAGCAGTAGCGACAACAGTGCACAGACGATTGCCGCGCAATTCGAGATGACATTGTCTTCCGACGACATCGTCGTTGACTCGCGTCCCTGGGCTATCAGGCCGCTCCGATTGTGAGACGAAGTCAATCGCGCGTCTTCCGCTTCCTCCCGCGTCTCTCCGCGCAATATCTCGCGCGTACATCTCCGAGGAGGAGAAGTCATCTCTCGACCGTCCTCTCTCTCTCTCTCTCTATCTCTCTCTCCTCCCGCTCGCTCGATCTTTTTTTCCTCCTCCTTTCGTCTTCTACGTCGTCCTTTATATCTCACTCGGCTCGGAGCGCGCGACGCGAACGCACGTGCATGCATGCGTGCGTCGCCGTTTGCGTCGCGAGATCCGCGAAGACGAACGCGGGAGGGCGAGAAGCGGGGGAATCGCGGGCGAGTCGCGTAGGAGGGCGAGCGAGAGGAGCGGAGCTGGGCTCTATGCGCGCGAGCTTGCGATGACTGAGAAACGCGGTCGGCGTGGTTTCGCGCCAAGAACTTCGCATTTCGTCGGAGAAGAGAAGTGCTTCTGCCCGTAGGACGAGCGTCCCTTCGCTCCGCAGATAGTGCCGTTTCGGACACTGAAAAAAAAAAGAAAAGCGAAAGGGGGCGAACACCGATAAATAAAAACAGTAAATCGTGAAGGATCAATCGCGTGATCGCGCAAGCAAGCCGTCGTGTTGCGATCTCCCGAGATAATATCCGCTTAAACTCTGGACGAAGAACGCCAGAAATTTTTTTCCTTTTTCTCTTCCGTTCATCTTCCTTCGTCGTTCGCGTTACTTCTTAGTATCTTACTTCCGTCGTTCTTCCTCTTATTGTTAGCACTTTACGGGCTAAATAAGCAAGACTGTGGGGTGATCTATCGATATTTCGAGGCGGATCGATGGACGAAAAGTCGCAGCGCGAAGGCAAAGCTCCGAACGAATTGTGTCTCGATTGTGATTCACGCGAGAGAATCCTCACGTTTAGTTGTATATTATGTTTCGTACTACAC